TCTCTCTCTCTCTCTCTCTCTCTCTCTCTCTCTCTAACCTCCCCGGCGCTGGACTCCTCGAGCGTTGTGCCGCATTTCCGAAGAACAGCGCAGCCGATGGTCTCAAAATAGCGCAGCAGGTAGTCTCCCAAATAGAGCAGTAGGTCGAATCCTGAACCAGCATAACGCTGCATTTCTCCTGGTAGCTTCTGTCCAGAACTGGGCGCTGGCCCATCTTAAGTAGCGCTGGGCCGGACCCAATGAGTCCACGGCCTTCGTTCTGGACCGTGCAGATCGAATTCCAATCCGCGGTCCAGATCGCAGGCTTCGGACTTGGTTCAGTCCTTGGCCTAAAACGGCCTGCCTGGGTCCCTACCGGACGTCCAGACCCTGCCTAGGACTGGGCCTGTTCGGTACCTGGTCTGATTCAGGGCCTGTGCGAATGCATCGGGCCTGAACGTTGGTCCAGGTCCGAATGGTCCAAAATCTGTCCGAAAACAAACAAAAGGTCCAAACGTTTTTAGAGGCTCAGCCATTGGGCCTGAATCTGGCCCTGGCCCTAAAACGTGTACCTGGCCACAAACGGACAACAGCACACACGTTAGAAAAACAGCAGCAATAAATAAATAAAAGAATATAAAAATAATCTAAAGCTGGCGTTTTTCTGATGCATGCCCAAGTAAAAATGCCATAGGGTCTTCAGGTTGCGGTGACGCGACCTGGGGGACCTATTCCAACCTCGGGTCCCGTGTGTAGGCTCTCACCATGTAACACGCCCCCCTCCTTATGAAGACGAGCCGGGGCGCGGGCGAAGCTGCCGATCCGATGGTGGAATGTAGCGAGGATGGCGAGGAGCTGGAGTGCTCGACGTAGTCTTCCCTTTGCTAAGATAACGTGAGAGAACGCCGAGAGCTGTGGCCTGCAGTTCCGAACGCGTCAGCCAACGGTCAGCCTTGTGGCTGCAGTAGGAAAAGTGAAGAGGAAACTCCGTTTCTTTGTTGCCATGGCGCCGGTCGGTGATGATGTAGCCGGCCTCCTGAAATCCGTCCATGGAAGGAGGGTCTTGCGTACGTCGATCGGGAAACTCGTCGGACTCCGCTGAAGCAAAAGGAGCGAGTTTGGAACAGTAGAACACCGTGTGGACGGGCAAGTGAGGTGGCACCGCGATGCGGAATGAAGGCCCCTCGGGATCATCACCAACTGCAGAGAGAATGCGCCAAGGCCCCATCCACTTGGGAAGGAGCTTGCGAGAGATGTCTTGCTCAAGGCTGAACTCCGCGGCGGAGACCCAAACCAGATCGCCGGCGCGGAACGGGCAAGGGAGACGATTGCGGTTGGCTTGRCGGCTCATCCGTATTTGCGTTTTTGACATCTGATCCTGTGCCTTGACAAGGAGCTCTTGCGTGTGGCGAAGGAACGCAAGATGGTCGTCGCTCTCGGCTGTGCGCGGCAAAATGGCGTCCAGCGGCGATGAGATGGGTGAACCATGCTCAAACTCGAACGGCGACATCCCGATAGCCGGATGGATCGATGAGTTGTAAGCCAACTCGACGTCTGGCAAGCGCTCAACCCAATCAAACTGGTCGGGACGGATGAGAGTGCGTAGAAGGACTTGAGCGGTCTGATGCGCCCTTTCCGTTTGACCATCGGTTTGCGGGTGGCGAGCCGAACTCGGCTTCAAAGATGAGCCCCATCGCTTGACGAGGGCGATCCAAAAGTCGGAGAGAAAGCGAGTGTCCCGGTCGCAAACGATCTCCTTGGGGTAGCCCTTGGAGCGAATCCAACCTGTGTATAAGACCTCGACTAACTTCGGTGCCTTTGCGTGATAGCTGCAAGGCAAAAACATGGCGTACTTGGTGAGGCGGTCGACGACTGTGAGGATCCCATCAATGCCGGTCTTGTGCTTCGGGAAGGGGCCGATGATATCCATAGCAATCGCTTCCCAGCGCCCAAGGGGCACTGGTAGTGGGTGTAGCTTGCCAAATGGACGATGGTTGCGTGACTTGCAACGCCGACAGACTTCGCACGACTCACAATAGCGGGTGGCGTCCTTGAGAAGGTCGGACCAATAAAACCGCTGGCGAAGTCGGCCAAGTGTACGGTTGACACCAAAATGTCCGGAGGCGGGCGCATCGTGAAACTCGCCAAGAAGCCGTGTGCGCAAGTGTGAATCACTCGGCACACAAAGAAGATCCTTACCCCRYGAATGCACAAGYAASTAGCCCTCTTGGATCCGATAATGCAAAGGCACCGGATTCGGAGAGGAGCAATTCGCGTACTTGTCGCGAAAGTGGGGGTCGGCTTGATAGCCGCGGATGAAACTCTCCCGCAAGTCATCGTCGATCTCGAAGGTAGAGTAGACTGCGGTGCAAAGATCCGGTCGCCGTGAGAGGGCGTCCGCAAAACGGTTTGACTTCCCGAAAATGTGATCGGGGAAAAAGTCAAACTGGTCGATGAAAGCCATCCAACGGGCAATGGTACTATTAATCGTGTCTTGTGTCTTGTAAAATACGACCGGATTGTTATCCGTTACCCATCGGAATGCTTTCCGACCAAGGAGGAAACGTCGCCAACATTTGAGGGCGTGGACAAAGGCAAGAAGCTCCTTCTTTCGTGCGTCGTCGATCGAATGCAAGGGAGGCACTTTCTTGCTAAAGTACTCGGCCGGGTGCCAGTCCGTGCCATCGTGCTGCTCAAGGGCGGCCCCAATGCCATAGCCCGAYGCATCGGTAGTGACGCGCGTAGCTAGAAGCGGGTCGTAAATATGTAACACCTCGACGGATAAGAGTGCCGCTTTGAGTGTTTCAAACGAATGACGCGCATCGTCGTCGAAGTCAAAAGGCCGCTCCTCGCTTTGTAACTTGCTTAGGTTGACCGCGATCTTCGAGTAACCCTTGATGAAGCGCTGATAATAACCGGCCAAGCCGAGGAAGGATCGGACGTCCGTCACATTCTTCGGCTCGGGCCACTCCAGGATGGCTTGAATCTTGTCCGCCAACGGACGAATGCCTTCCGGGGATACAAGATGACCCAAGTATTCAAGCTCTTGCCGGACAAACTCACATTTGTCGCGGTTGGCTTTGTACCGGGCTGACCGAAGAGTCTCTAGAACACGACGAAGGTGCTCGAGATGCTCCTCAAGAGTTCGGCTATAGACAAGGATGTCATCTAAGTAGACCAAGACAAATCAGTCCAACATAGCGCAAAACTCGGTGGTCATGGCCGCATGAAAGGTGGCCGGGGCATTGGTGAGGCCAAAAGGCATAACTACCCACTCAAAATGCCCATATCGCGTCTTAAATGCGGTTTTGTACCGATCTTGCGGGCGGATGGAAATCTGATGRTAGCCCGACTTGAGGTCCAACTTCGAAAAATACTTAGCGCCGCCCGGACGCTCAAGCAAATCGTCAATGCGAGGTAGAGGCCCCGCGTTCTTGATGGTTTGCGCGTTGAGGCGTCGATAGTCAATACAAAGTCGAAGGTCCTTGTTCTTCTTCCGAATGAAGAGAACAGGTGCATCGTAAGGTGAACTGCTAGGGCGGATCCAACCCTTGTCAAGAAGATCATCGAGTTGCGTACGGAGAACCGCGAGCTCCTCCTCAGACATGCGATGAATGCATCCCTTAGGTGGCACGACGCCGACCTCAAGTATGATCTCGTGAGAGATCGGTCAGTTCGGCACTATACCGGAGGGAGTTGCGAACACGTCCGAGAACTCGTCTAACTACCGGGTCACACGGGGGTTGGAAGACAAATCCGTGGACGATGAGTCGGTCGTAGGGACGGTTCGAAGAAATGCGATGCCAATCTCTTCGATGTGCTCGAAACGGCACATGTCTCGAAAAAATTTGGCACTCACGACTTGGCACCGAATGGAAGAGCGGGGAGGAGGAATACTACACGGGACCTCGGCGCCAACGGTATCACGAATCGTGAGCGTGCGTCGATGGAAGTTTACCGTGTGGTCCGTGCTAGAAAGCCAAGGCATCCCCAAAATGACATCGAAGTCGGTGTCCAATACGTCAAAAGTGACGGGTTCACATGCGTGCGGTGCAAAATACACTGGGACAGCCGAGATGTAACGGTCTAAGAGTTGTTTCGTCTTACCGTCGGCAAGAGCGACCGTCATCGGATGTGACTTCCTTCGTACTTGTGCCCCAAGGACTGGCTGATGAAGTTGCGAGTTGCGCCGCAATCCAGCAAAGCGTTGCAGGCCGCTTGCCCAATTTGAATGCGGGAGTAGAGCAACGGTGCGTTGTTTTCTTCGTACCGTTGCGAGACAAACTCGCGGGCCACCTTGGCAACGTAGCCAAGCATGTCCCCCACCGCAACTTCGTCTACCGTCGGCGAGGTTGGTGGTGCATGGAAGGAAAGATACTTGTGTAAGAGGGCGCATAGTGCTGCGCTTTGCGGCCCCGGAAGGTTGTCCGTCGTAGGGAGAGGAACCCAAGCGAAATCCTCGGGCGCGAGCGGGTCCAACACCTCCTCGTTGAACACGCTTACCGAATCCCTTGATGAAGACGAAGTGGCGGAAGAACCTTCGGATGGTGAGAAAGCCGCACATGTATCTTGTCCTTGAGAAGCGTCCAGCGAAGGAACGAGCCGAGCAGCGAAGTCTTCGAACGAAAGTGGAAGACTCTCGACATCCGCATATGCCTCGGAAGGAAGGGCGGTCGTGCGCACAACCGCTTCCGATGGCGTCGAGGGAGGTGTTGAGTCACCCTCGGTGGCGCCTACTTTCCCGAACGGGGTTTCCCCTTGGTGGGGCAATGTGTAGCATCCTGGATGGTGCTGTTGCACCAAAGACAATAACGGTACTTTAGTCTTGTGCGATAGCAATTCGCCGAGAGTCCGCATTGGGTCCAAGGTCGTCGGCGGCTGATCCGGTGCCCGGTGAAGAGGTGGACTGAGTCATTGTCTTGTCACGACCGTGATTGTTGCGCGGCCGGCCACCATCCCGCGCAGCTGCCAACACTTCACCCACGTTTGGTGTTGCAGCCTCGATAGAAGAAGTTGGTGAAGTCGCCGTAATGCAAGCCACCTATGGCTTGGGCTGGTTGCTGCTCGACGTCGCGGAAGATTGGTCGGCGTTGCGGGCTTCTACATTCGTGAGAATGATCCGTGACGCTGTGCTGAAAAGCTTGTCAGATGTGTCGAGTGTCTCTGCAATCTGCGTCAGCGCGTTTTGCAGGGCTGGACACGAGCGCATGATAAACAAGCGCTTGACACCGCCGAATGCCAGCGGCAGGTCGGGTGTGGAGGTGAGTCTTTGGAACTCCGTAATCCAGTCCTGACTGAGGAGCATGTTCTGATTGAGCTTGTTGAGCTTCTCCATCGCTTGCAGGTCGGGCGGCTCGACTTGGAATCGCTTGTGCCAGGCGTCAGTCAGTTCCTGCCAAGTGAGCTTGGTGTGCAGTTCCGACACTGCTACGTCGTGGCTGGTCAATATGTTGTCCAACCATGCTTGACATGCACCACCAGATCGGTGGTACAAGCACGCATGTCGATTGTTGTTCAGGACATGGTGCATGTCGAGCCTGAGAGTGAACTGACGCCACCACGGGATCGGTTCCGTCTTGAACTGATCGCAGAAAACTGGAATGTCATCCAGTTTGGGTGGGCGTCGGGAGGATGCAGCCGCGGGCGTCACGGTAGCAGCAGCCTGGACCTGCGTCTCCAACTGCAAGTTCATTGCTTGTTGTGACGTCCGGAAATCCTGATGTACACGCTTGATGTTGCTGACGTCATCCTCCAAAACTTGAACACGGGTGGCAAGGTTGGAAAGCCCTGCGGCTGCTGCGGCGACTGGCTGTTTCTCCAACACCTGCAGCCGTACAAGCATCTGGTCCACTGTCTGCTGCAGGCGAAGAATTTCCTCCTGCTGCAGAGCGCAGGTGGCCAGGAGGTCGTGGGAGATCTGCGCAACGGCCGACAGCCCTTTGTCAGTCTCCGAGGCCTCGTCCGCAGATGCCATTTCCACCCATTGTGCGGTTTCGTCGCCGATCGCGGTCTCCCGCGTGAACTGTCGTTCCCGTTGGCGTGACCGGTGTTCAACTGCAGCCTGCAGGTCTGCCTCCTCTTGACGAAGTCGGTCCTGTTCCTCCTGTTGTCGCTTGGTCTTCTCTTCTTGCTCAATCCGGTTCCGTTCCTTGGCCGCGGCGGCGGCCCTATCGTTGGCCTCTTGGATGAACGCAGCCAGGCATTCCTCATAGGCCAGGAGGGATTGTCCCGCCTTCTGGTCCATGGCCTTGGTCTGTGATCGAGTGAGCAGTGGCATGCACTGTCGTGCCCGAACTCTGAAGAGTCACCCGTGCGGCGTGTGCCAAACAGCAGTACCCGGACTGGAGGGGGAGGAACAGGTAGGCAGCAGGCAAGTGGGAAGGATCGGACAGATCCCAAATTGAACAATTTCCTAATCAAGAAAAAAAAAAATTTTGATTAAAAAAAATATTAACATAAATCAAAAACACAAAAAAAAAAATGGGCTGTTCAATCCCACGGAGTACCGAAGGTGATGCAGAAAGCAATGTGGACCCTCGGTGCTCAAACTGCAGAAAATCAAAGAAGAAACTTTACAAACTCAGAGTAGGAGTATGTTGCAAAAATAAGGGAAAATGCCATTTTTTTTTTTGAAAAAAAGAACGGAATTTGCAGACCTACGAATTGAAAGTGTAGAGGGACAGTTTCGAAAGAATCGCGAACTTGTCAAAATGCAGACAATATTTAATAATTAAACAAAGAAGAAAAATTTCTCGAAAAAAGAATTTTCGAAACGAAAAAAAAATTCTCGGAAAAAAACATTCTCGGGAAAAAATAATTTCTCGAAAAAGTAATTTCTCGGAAAAAATAATTTCTTGGGAAAAAAAAAATTAAATAATTAATTCCGGGAGATTTCCAAGATTACATAAGAAATTGCCAAATAATCAATCAACTTAATCAATCAATCAATCAATCAATCAATCAATCAATCAATCAATCAATCAGTCAATCAATCAATCAATCTGCATGTGTCCTGGGGACCATCTTACGCAAGTGTGTACATGCCATGCATCGTACTCCTACACACAATGAACAGTAGTCTGACAATAGACAAAGATAGAGAAGATGAGGACCGAGTTTCACAGTTTATATTATCAGAAATATGAATACAAAATGTTTCAAAGTTCCCCTGAGTCCAGCGCTCATCAGCGCAACACCAATATCTTGCCAACTCATCAATATGCCTTCCAGTGAATCAGTGCTACCCCTGCAGATAGTCTCCAAGTCATCAATGTGGTCACCACTCRTCARYGCCACCTCTGCAGRTCACATCCAACTCAGGTAAGTATCTTCCATAGCCAACCTTGAATGAACACTCTCAGCCTCAATCCCTTCCTCTTATGATGCATACACACTCTTCAATACTCATGAGGATCTACTCTGGATACTACT